TGCCTTTACAGCTCTCTCTCTGTCTCGCGCGCGCGCGAAAAATTTGTGTGCGACCATTTTTTCTTCTTATTTTTACGCTGCGCCGGTCGACCGTTGTATACGTGCTGTATACGGGATATGTATTTCCAATTAAATCTCGTTTATACCGTGTATATGCGTCGCAAAGGGAATAATCGCGGCTCTTTTTCTTCTTTTTTCAAGCGTCCCCTTTTTCCGTTCTGAAAAATGTTACGTCCCGAGTCGATCCGTTGCATCGCGTATAGCTCACGTACCTATGCACAATGCCGGCCCTCTAAATATCCTCGTTTGTCTTTTATTTATTTTTTTGTTTATTAGCTATATACCTAAGTCCGATGGTACACGCCCACACGCAGATGATCGTTAAACACACACACACACAGCGAGTTAGTTCGAGAATCGAACAACGTATTTCTCCCTATGTGTATATACATCGATAAGATACGTCATCGAGATACACAGCAGCACAAGCCGAGACTCGATGCGAGTTGGCCGATTTTAATCTTTAGGCGTTGCAAATTGTATCCCCCCAGTTAGTTTTTTCGCGATTTCGTTCGTTCGTTCGTTCCTTCGGCTGTGTGTATGTACTTTTTCTCTCTCTCTCTCTCTTTCCTTCCTTCCTTCCTTTTTTTTTTGCTGCTCGCTTCTTCTTCTTCTTCTTCGTCTCTCTATCGAAGTCGCCTACGCCGCGCGCGCGCGCTTCCACTACTCGGCCTGGATACTCAAGTCCTTTCGGGGTCTGCACGTGCCGCAACTTTGCAATTTCGTTGCCAAGTATCTCTCTCTCTCTCTCTTCGATTTCTGTACCGCGACTCGCTCTCTCTCTTTCTCTCCGAGTATATATTGTACGTCTGCTGTCTTATATGTCACTGCATGCTATATAGGCAGCATTGCCTGTATATAGTACCCTTCCTTGATCATTCGATATTGATACAAATAATATAAAAATGAAAGAAACATCGAGGCGAGCGCGCGAGAGAGAGAGAGACAGAGAAAGAGGATAGAATAATAGAGAGCGACTGGCAATTGGAGCTTTTCGAGCTTTTTTATATACAGAACGACGCTGGCGCGAGCGCGGAGAAAAGTTACAAAAAAAATCTTTTTTATATTATATAAGCCAGCTTATACACACAGCAGTAGTTGTAGCTCGTTATACTCGGCGAAATTTTCTCACAGACGTTTAATTAATACATTATATTCGGAGCGCTGGACGCTCGTCGTATTACATCCTATATATATATATGGAACGCGCGAGATGATGAAAAAAAAAAAAAAAAAAAACAAACAACGCGCGCGCGCGCTAAGTCGACGTGCTGTACTGCTTATACAGAGCTCGCTAGCTGCTGCTGCTGCTGCGAGTGTCAAGATGCATAAGGCGCTACGCCTGCCTGCTTAGGCACGAGAGAAGTAAAAGGTATAATATATTCACAAAGTGAGTCTAGATTTTTAAGCACAAGTGTATGTAAGTAAGGCTCGTTCGCTCGCGCGCGTGTGTCTGTGAATGAACAAGCCCTTCTCTATATACGCGCGCGCGCGGGATCCCTCGGTATGAAGTGTCGTCTATCTCGTTACAAGAGTGTTTCGCGCGTTTCTGTGTATATACGTATATATACACCGAGGGAAAAAGGGAAAAGGAGAGAGATGGTGCGAGAGCGAGGAAAGGGCGCTCCATAAGTAGCGTATGTATACATACGCGACGCGCATACACGTACGTGAGCTTGCGAGCGAGCTTGCAGCGAGAGAGGACTCCAAACAACCCTACAACGTGATACTACTCTCTATAAATAGATCATGTTCCTCGAACATAAAACGGGTTAATGGGTTGGTTGATTACGGGTATATGTATATCTAGCAGTGTAGAGAGAGAGAGAGAGTCGGAACAAAGGGCCGAGCTGAGAGAGAGATGGACTCCGAGGACAGGCCTTTTGCAAAATTTATCCAGCGCGCCCAGCAGAGACACGCGTAGAGGTAGTACGTGTGCTTGCAAAAGCGTTGCATAGAATGCATTTTATATATAATATATACGTAGGTGGGTGTGTGTAAGCAGCTTAACTGCATAAAAGTGGGCGAGATGAGAAATAATTATATTCGTGGGAAAATTTGATCATCGCGCGAGAAAATGTGACTTTATGAATATTTGTATATTTTTTACTTTGATACAATTTACTCTGCGACGTATACAGAGTTCGAGTAGATCGACGGAAAATAAGAACAAATCGTCTCGTACTTTATTTCTTCACATCGAGAGGGCCACCCCGACGATTGTAATATCATCGTCATCATCATACGTAGGTGGTAATTTTAAGCTATCTCTCTTTCTCGTCGGTATACCTCTCGGGGTGCAGCCGGAGCTCTGTGTACATGGCTCTGCTCTGCCTCCGAATGGAAATGATACGTACATTTTGCATCGCTCGCGTGGTATATTGTAGCGGCGGCCCCGAGTGCGAGACACGTATTATACGTATAGCCGGTGTTACACGAATTACATCGGCGCGCAAATATTCTCTCTCGCTCTCTCGGTGAGCCCGACGAGCATCTGTGCGCGCACCGCCCATAAGTGGGATCGCGTTACTCTCATCGCTCGGCGCTGCCTCGTTATTTGCATTTGCATCGAGACTATATAAATGTATGCGTTATGTAAAATAAAATATCGCGTCCCGCGCGCATCTCGTCTACCCCGTATTATATACGTTTCGATGTACACTTCGGCGTTTGTTAGCCTCTTCGCTTTTAAAATTCATGTATACTTTTTCGTCGTCGTGAATTCGTGTCACGAAATTTGTCGGAATATAAGTATAAGATACGCCAGGGTAGAATTTTTTATATTTTTTACGACCTTTAACCCATCTTCGCCAAAAAAATCTTCGAGATTTTGAGACTCCGCCGAAAAAAAGCCAGCTTTTTCGTTCTTCGCTTTCGCGAGAAGAGAGAAAAGGAGCTTTGGCAGGTTACAGCGCGAAAACCGATAAATGTTTTACAGCGTACTTACCTTTCTCTCGCGAGCCATTAATAATTCATGTTGCATAAACTACAGCGAATTAAATGGAAGGGGAGGGGGAGGCTTCATTAATAAATCATTGTATTCGTATTCGCGCGCTACAGCCACCGAGCTTTCGCGCAGTCGGCGAAGAAAACTCATAATGAGCTAACGATTCGCTCTGAGCGCGCGCTTGAAAAGAATATCATTTACCGACGCGCGCGATTCTTTTACTGCCACTGTGCGAACGATTCGTGCTTATCATCGTGTTACACGCAGGCTTATTAAATACCCCTCCCAACGTCGGTTAATTCAAGAAAAGAAAGTCTTCGCGACGATTTTTCGTTCTAATTCCAATTACGAATTGTGTGTGTAAGTGCGCGCAATTCCGAAATGCGCGCAAGCCACGTACCTCGCAAGATTAGTCGAATTAATGTACAAAAGATGAGGCAGTAAATAGTTTTGTTTTTAAGTAGGTCGACTTTTCAGCTGACCCAGTTAGTCTCTCTCTCTCTCTCTCTCTGGTACAGCAGAGGCAAGGGCCAAACTGAACGCGAGAGCACAGCAGCAGCAGCGGCAGCGGCGCACATACTGTAATAGCACGAGAGGGAGAGAGAGAAAGGACGGAACATGCTTTTGCAAATTCCGACACACGGCGTCGTGCCTCCTCCTTTGCGTTTGCCAACTCGGAATTTCAAGCTTTTACTCTTTCCTTTCTCTCTTCTCTGTCTCTGTCTCTCTCTCTCTCTCTTCCTTTCCCTCGCTACAATTTTCATTGTTGACTCTTTATTCTTCGACTTATAAGTGAGCGTATTACGAAAAGTCAAACGAACACACAGGGCACACAAAAAAAAAGCTCACCCACACGTCTTTGGATATCGAATCGGGATTTCGCTCGAATCGTACCATTTTTCTCTCCAGGGAGATGTAAATCTGCGTGTAAAATATATATATTTCATTAAAATCGAGCACATCGTCATCGTGTCGTACGAAATATATAACTCGCCATTTCGCATCGATACATAACGCATAATAATAATCGCACGCGCGCGCGAGTCCGTATATAAAACGTATACAAGCCGCGATCGTATATAAAAAAAAAAACAAAACGCACATAGCTCCATTGTTCAGTCGTGCAACGCGATTGCGATCGCGCGTCCCTTTTTTCGCGCGCGCAAGCTCGCAAGCTCGCCTGATTTTTTGTCCGTACATTTTTTATTGCTTTTACTCTTATATACTTGCGATCACGACGTGGTTGCTGCTGGTGGTGGTGTTCCTCGTCGTTGCACACATACACACGCACACATCCACGTCTGAACTTGCGAGAGTCAGCAGAATTTCGCTGCTGGCTTCGAGCGATCCGTATGAATAGTGATTTTTCTTTTTTTCTACTATTGTCGAAACGATCTTCTGCGATTATAATTGATACTTTTAAACAGTCAGTTGTCTAAAGAAATTTACAATCGATATTTACGGGCGATTTTCACTGGAACGAAATTTCCGTTATATATATAGAATAATAGTTTTAATAGCAATGATCTCGTGTGTGGGTGTGAAAATAACGGTTAGAAAATTACAGAGCTTGTAATAGAAGGCACGAGAGAACGAGAGAGAGAGGCCAGTTAAAGTATTGATTTTACCGGACACTAGAGCGCAGCCACTAGCACGTTAAGCGCGCGAAAGAGAGAGAGAGAGAGAGAAATGTTTGAGCCGTTCGTTTGGCGGGTTATACGCCGCTATGCTATATACTGGCGTGTGCTGAAAAGTGGCTCATTAATGAATTAGACTCTCCGCTGCCAGGCTTGATTGGGCGATCCGTTGAAGGGCGAGCTCCCTTGAATTTTAATTTTCATCGTCTCGCCGCCGCTGCTGCGCTGCACCTATATACTCGCATACACACATACATACACGCTATCGATGAATGTATACCTTCACCCCCGTCGATAATCGCTCAATAATATTGCCCGAAAGAAAGACATATCTTATAAAATTTATCGTGTTGCAGAGCATCCTTTGGCCGAGGTACCTATTGCTATTACGATCGGAGGATTGGAAAATTTCAGCGAACTGAGGGAGGCTGAACTTTCGACTGCTGTTTAACAACAACAACGACAGTAGAATCAGAAACGGCGACGACGACCAGCAACAACAACAACTCCACCACGGCACTGACGAAGTTTGGTATGCGCCAGCTGGTGGTGCTCGAGCCGGCGGGCAGTCTACTCGTTATCCGCCGGCAGCAGCAGCAGCATCAGCGCCCGACGACGCTCCTTAATCCGGAAGCGAGCCTAGTAGACGCCGGCAGCAACGCCATTAGCAGCAACATCGTCGTAGGCAGCAAGCAAAATATCAGCGGCAGCCTCGAGCTCGGCGGTGGCAATGGTTTCGCGGCGGCGACAGCCGACCACAACCAGAACCGCATCGTCGTCGTAGCCACTGCTACCGCCGCTACCAACGTTGCTGCTGCCGCTGCTGCCGCCGCTCCCCGATCGTCTTCTTCTTCTTCTGCCTTGATACAGGTTCGTATCTTGACTACTACTACTGCTACGTAGGGCTCGTGAATATTACAGTAGAGAATTAGACGACGTTGTTTGCGTCGCGAAATTCTCCCGCTTTAGTTTCGGGGTAAGATAGCTAAATATCAATTGCTCAACCGATGAAATTACAAAAAATAAGCAAACTCGACATGATAAGATAATAAATCGCTAAAATGTATTTTATTCCTCTGGTGCACACGTGTGCGCGTATAGGCAAAACAAGCGGTGGAATTAGAGAAGAGCAGCAACGGCGGAGTCGCTAACAGCAATGTCGTCGTGTCTGCGGTCAACGTCTTGGCCACAAACGCCAAAGGATCCATTAGCAGTGTCGTCGTCGACGCGGCTACCAACACTACCACTAGCAGTAGTAGCAGTAGTAGCAGTAGCAACAACAACGTCAAGCAACGAAATGGTAACGCCGCCGCTGGTGTCGTAGTCGTCGTCGGTGGCAAGGATGACATCGTCCTCGATGGCGGCGATGTCGCCCCTAACGTAAAAAACGGCAGCGGCTCGGCCGAGGTTAAACATCAGGACTCGCTTGCGAGCAACGGCAGCAAGCAGTCGCTTCTCATCGGTAAGTGAATTACGCACCTACCGAATTATATGAATCAGAATCGAGGAGAATCGTTGTGCAGTTTCTCTCTCTCTTTCTGCCCGATTAAATTTTCTCTTCGTTTCACTTTCGCCTCGTATACTTACACGCGTACTACGCTCGCTGCAGGATTAAGCGTTTTAATGCGCTGGAGCAAAGCTAAGCAGCGGCGGCGGCGGCGCCTTAAGACAAAATTGAACTGGCTTAGGCGCGATCGTGACAAGAGCCTACTTACGCATTTAGCAAATGCGCTTAAGTACACACCTTATGTATAGCCATGTGCGTGTTACACGCAAATACGCGTACGCATATGTGTGTGTGTGTGTGTGTAAGGTAACTGCCTCTGCTACTATATGTACGCATGTATCGTGTACCGTAGCACACGTATGCGCACACACGTGGGAGGGTGGTACAGAGCTAGTGCAGCTCCACCACGTGTACATGTGTGCGTGTAGCGTAAGCTCGAAATCTGCTACCGCAGATAATTCCGACGTCCTCCGTAATTGGGATTATAGTTTACGATTATATACCAACGGCTGAGCAAAGCGCGAGAGAGCCTATATACGTACCTACATATAGGTAAGAGAGCCTGTAACCAGTAGTAGCACCGAAGCACTACTATACATTTTGGTTTATGTTGCTTCCCCGAGATATAACTTTGCCTCGCGCGCGCGAGCTCCTCCTCCTCCCACTCTTGACTCTGTATAGTAGTATGTCCCTCTCTCTCTCTCTTTTTCTAGCTTTATACGCCGCGTCGTTGCAGTTACACGCATACACACTGGGATGGGTGAGGGGGTAAAAGTTTTGGTGTGTGCAGCGGGGCATATAATACACCTCTTGCATACTTTACCGTATGTATACGCGCGGGCTGGAGAGATTCTCTATTTTTACACTTTGTTTACGCGGGGTGCGCGCGAGCCACCGGCCGCCGCCGCCGCCACCGTTTCGATTCTCGTATAATATAAGCAATGCTACATATACACACACAGCTTTTCTTTGAAAGTTGCTGGCCCCGCGCCTATAATTCAGCCAATACGGCGATATAATCTACGAGTCTCGCAGTGTAGTGGCAAGAAATATATACAGTAATGCGCTCGACACGCACTTGCAGCCCGCATATACGTGTATATATACACTTGCCCTCTAGCGCACGGTGTGTGCGAGCTTACACTTAACGCGATACCAGGTATATAGTATATAGGCACCTATATACCTTATATATACACCCCTTGCTCGTTCGCGCGCCAATTGCAGCTATAAACGTATTGTATGGTATATATATCTATATGAAGGAGCAGTTTAGGGGGGCCGTGAATATGGAAATGCATATAATTTGCTGCAGCCAAGCCGCCCCTATATATATAGATAGCCGAGAGACAGAGAGAGAGTTGAAATTGAAAATTAAAAAGTCGAAGAATCTCTATCTCTGCCTGGACCCATTATAATCGTTCGCCCGCCAAGCAGGTATTGTACTAGTTATAGGTGGTAGTACACGGCCCTGCACACTTGCCTGGACTTGAATTCCACTTTTCTCTCTCTCTCTCTCTCTCTCTGTCCTGGTGCGCCCAGCACAGGTCGCAGCACTGCTGCCTGGCGCGTCATAGAGTTTACGGGCGGATATTGCATTCCGCGCGACATTCCGAGCGCGCGACGACGAGCCACTGCGCGAAATTATATAGATATACGTGTGTGTGTGTGTGCGTGTAGAGAGAAAAGGGGCACCTATACAGGGTGGAAAAGAGCTAACGTTTGTAATTCAATTTTGTTTTATCTCGTTGGGTGTGCAAAAGAGCGAGATTTTTTTGGGGCGAGCTTTTTTTGTCGTTGTTGTTGTCATTCATTTATTTGTGTGTCGCGAGCGAGAGCGCATAAGCGACGCGCGGATTTTCAAGTACCTTCCCGCGTTTTCGAAAGATTATTGTATTTTCTCTAGTGCTAGTGCGGGGGTGGACAGGGTGTACATATAATTGTGTTGTTGCCGATACGTTAATGAAAAAGTAATTCGCGAAGAGGGATCGACGATTGAATCGGTCCACGTAAACAAAACAGCGCGTGTATCTTATAATTATTCACTCGAGAGGCAAAAATATGCGCGCGCGATATGACGAGTGTTGGTCGGATTTTATATTGTTTACTTTTATCCGTGGGCGCGCGATGACCTTCGCTTCGAGAGAGAGAGATTGAGCTCTCTCGTATATCATATAGAAGTTACGAATTTATTTTTGTTATTTGATGCGATTTATCAACGCGGAGATCGAAATAGTGCACGTAGTTTTTATATGCGAAAAAATCATTTCCACAGTGCATTTCCGTTTTGACCGAGATTCATTCTCCGTCGGTCGAGTCTACATTTTTCGAAGCGACGTACACTAAACACACAAAAGATCTCCAAGGACAATGTATAGAGAAGCTGCGCTATTTTGACACTTGCGATTGTGTCAATCGCGAATAAAGTATATAGCGAAATAAAAAATTCGAAGAAAGCGATCAACGCAGTTTTCGAGTTTTGTTTAATCGATGCCATTAAATTAAATTGGAATATTATTGACTTTTTAAAAGATAGAAAAGAGGCGGATATATTACCGTCTTAAACACATAATAAACATCAAAGCTCTAGTCTCTCTCTCTCTCTCTTTCAAGAGCTTGCGGGGGCCCTCCCGTCGTATATATTCTTGGAATAGCTTTCAGAGCTCCAATACTGCTCCACGTCATATATAACCCTAAAACGTTAAGCCGAGAGAGAGGAGGGAGGGCAGAGGGAAAGAGGGTGGGTATATATACATATGATCATAAACATACTTGTATAGCCCGAGCCATTCGATTGTAAGCGACGTACCTGAACAAGCCTCGTCGTCGTCGTCGTCGTCGTCGTAGTTCCCGAAGCTAAACATCGATCTTATACAGCCCCGGCGTAGACCCCGAGCTTAAAGATAAAAGATAAGTTCGCCGGAGAATATAACGTGATATATTTATGAGCGATTTCATCATCAAAAAAAAAGAAAGAAGAAGAAGTAAAACCAACTAGCCCCGCAGCCCCGAATCGTGCATCCACGTTTACATAATATATAAATTGAAATATCCGTCCGCCTTGTGAGAAACGCGTGGAACTGCGCGCGGGGAAAGTATCCTTTAAATTTTATTCAATCCTATACGGGCTATTGGCTACTGCTGCTGCTGCTGCTGCCCCCGTAAAAGTCGTTAAGTCGACGCGCCAATAAAATTGCATAAATCGTACACTAGCCAAGAGAGGAATGACGATGATCGCGCATCGATCGTCGTTGGCAGAATAATGAAAAACTAATTGCCCCTTTTATTGTCCTCGTCGACGTCTTCGACACAATGAATAAATCAATCATCGAATTAGCGCCGCTCAAGCGGTTCAAAGTGTATATATCGGCAGAGAGAAGGTCGAGAGAAAAGCGGCGCTATTGGCGGCACGCAGACTTCATTCTCAACCTAGAGCACCCACACACATACACATTGTTGTCTTGAGCTTTTCTCAATCCACAATCGAAAGTCGAACTGCCGAAAAAAAAACCCAACAGCAGCAGCTGGCTGGCTGGATGCTGCTTGGGTGCAGGCCTCGATTTACTCTCGAAACATGTAGCAAAGGTTTTTTCCCGGTGTGTTCAGCTTCTTTTTCCTTCTTTATTTTTATTTTTTTTTGCTTTCTTTTAAAATCAAGCAATTCTCTCTCTTCTCTCTGCGAAGCACAACACGTACTCGCGTCTCCAGAATGTTGAATGACCGAGAGGAAAAGACAAAAGGGACGTAACACAATGCGTCGAGTCCGAACGCGCTGGACGAAAAAGATAAAAATGAGAGAGAGAGAGGACGGTATGTGTCGATCCCAACGGAAACTCGAGTCAATCTTGTCTATACTTGCGTCCTTGCCGCGCGCGCCGTCTGTAGCCGCTGCCATTATTATTCGACTTTATTCGTGTATAAGATGCAACGTTATCGCCGCGAGTGCATCTCTTAAACGACGCGCGATTTTTTACACACGAGACGAGGGAAGAAAAAATAAACTCGCCCTTCGAACCGTCTTATTTCGAAATGGGATCTCTCTCTCGAGTTCATCCGCGGCTTAACCAGCTAGCCCTCTGGGTCTCCGCGTGAAAAACTAATGCTTAAAACTCTAATCCTCGGCGAGCGGCAGCAGCATATCGCGCGCTGCAAATTCTTATGGCTGCTTTTTTTATGGCTAAACGGAGGAATTTTATCTACTTTGATGGTGGTGCTTTATAGAGGGGCTTGGCACTTAGTCACCAGTTGTAAACGAATTCTCGATCTAACGAGCCGACGACATTTTCCCGCGAGTACAAAAATGAAAGGATTAAAAGAGACATTTTCGTTGAACGCTTATAAAAATATGGCTTTGCGAGCGAAGTCAGCCTCCTCCTCGCCGCCGCCCCCGCCCATATATTCATCTATAACTTATCGCGCGCATTGATCCTTGAATTTCTCTCTCGCTGGCTTATAAATATAATACACCGACTGCACCGGAGGTCACTGATAGGTGGCAGCAGTATCAGCGGCAGCAGAGGCATTCGAAGACATTCGCAGACGCACAGAGAGAAAACTTTTCTCCCTATCCCTTTTTGCTGTGAATGTATATAGCAACAACGAATCGCAGATCGCGAGCGACACTTCCTTCAAAGTTCGAATCCAGCAGCAGCTGTGACCCGTGCGGTGTACTGCTGTCTATATCCACTGTTTTGCTCGGTGTTAACGGGACACAATACGATGCAGCGCGCACGAACTATTGCATCAAGATTCGATCGCGAGATAATCATTATTATCACTTCGAGTCGCTTTGCAAAGACGCAGCACGAGTTTGTCGGTGCCTCTTTCTTTCTTTCTTTTTTTTTTATTTCTAACACGAACGACTCGTCTCGCCCATTGTCGTCCCTCTCGTTTTCTTTCCTCTAATTTTCTTAATCCCTGGCCCTCTCAGCAGCGATCCACACACACACATACAG